AATAGATTGCTATCTATTCTACTTATAATTGGAGCAGAACTGGAACGAAAAACACGGGTGTATAGAAAGGAGAAAATCATAGTTGCGATTATGATTTGAAACACGATCAGAGGAAAACATAATAGATTCATATGTATTCAATATTCTTGTTAGACGTTTATACTTTTCTATTTGCACGAATCTACACAGAAAAAGTCTCGGGCCTGAGCACTTATGTGTAGTAGAAAAGGAGTCTAAATTAAATAGAATATTAATATGTATGTTCTATTGTGACTGTGAGCAAGGGCAAGTTGAAATACAATGAGGTATCTCATTGTAATTGAAGAGGGGCATCTTGTGATCGAAGAGACGGGATCTATGATAAATAGATTGCTATCTATTCTACTTATAATTGGAGCAGAACTGGAACGAAAAACACGGGTGTATAGAAAGGAGAAAATCATAGTTGCGATTATGATTTGAAACACGATCAGAGGAAAACATATTAGATTCATATGTATTCAATATTTTTGTTAGACGTTTGTACTTTTCTATTTGCACGAATCTATACAGAAAGAGTCTCGGGCCTGAGCACTTATGTGTAGTAGAAAAGGAGTCTAAATTAAATGGAGTATTAATATATATGTTCTATTGTGAATGTGAACGAGGGCAAGTTGAAATACAATGAGGTATCTCATTGTTGTGAAAGAAGGGCATCTTAGGAATAGAGTAAATACCATTTATTCTAAGCATAATATGGACGAACCTGTAAAAGATAAACATAAAACATGGGTGTTTCAAAAGATTGAAATCATGGTTGCGATTATAATTTTCACACTTTGAAAAGGATGAAGATATAATTAACAATTTCTTCAAAAAATATTATTGATCAGTTTGATCCACATATATGAGATCATCCACAAATGAAGAACTTTTGGATCAAGATCTCACAAGATAGCTCTTCTCCTTTACCAATCAATGAGCTTCTGAAAAAAAAACGACGGCCTATTCGCCATTTTAACCTTGTCAGAATGGGAGAAAAACAAGAAAAGTATATATTTGATAGATGATAACTTCTTCTCTTTTGTAATGATCTTCTATTTTATAGATCATAATTAGAGAATATCTCTATTTGGCAATGCATTCGAAATTAGAAGACAATTTCATTTTCTGTTTTCTGTTTTCTTTTCTTTCTTTTTTTAATTTTCTTATGTTCATCATATTTAATAAAACGTACAGTTAATGTTTAGTTATAGGATTAGAATATAGTCAAGATAATCGTAGCTTATTTCAGATGAAACTATAATGATCATGGTTATTAACTGTTACAATAGCATAGCGATGATTCAAAACACAAGTACAACTAGCCTAGCTAGGTTAGATTATAATTATCAATAACACAATTGATTATTGCATTTTCCACAAATAGAACAACAACAACAACAACAACAACAATATTGCTCCTTGACTACATATATTACATATGAAGATTTATAATTCTATTACATCTGTCCAAAAATAGATAACTTTTTAAATCTATGAACAAGAACTGTATTTCAATAGGCATCATTTCTTATTCAAGTCAATTCAACATTAAATTTGTCCGCTTAGTCAATTATCCTACTAAAGCTAAATGACGAAAACAGAAACACAAAACAGACAGATTGACTTATATTTTTTTTTCTTTGTACAACTTGATACCTTTCTATTATAATCTTCAGTGTTCTATTATATCATCTAGCTTGTTCTAGTATCTTTTTCTGTTAATTGAATTATTTAACCAAGCATTTTCTGTTTTATTCTAGATAGAAATATTAATCATGAATATAAATATAAAGAACCATAAAGAAACAATAAAAACTCCAAGTCAAGATGCTCAAGGTCGTTGGTGGGAAATGTTATCACCAACACAAGTGCTTACCCAAGAAGCACCAAAGATTGCCAAGAAAAAATCAAAATGTCATGGTAAACGAAAACTTCATCATTTCAAACGTAAATGTCAGGCACGTGGAATGACTGACGAAGAAATAGCCGAAAGAATTGAACGACGAAAGAATGACCATCCAACGGATAATGTTAGTAATTTAGTAAACTCTACCAATAATAACAACAATAAAAAGGTCCAAAAGAAGAAAAAGAAGAATCAATCAAACAAACGTAAACGATATCAAGTAGCCAACGAAAAATCAAATAATATTATGAAATCGTTAAGTCAATTGTCCATTTCTCAACCATTACGAAAGAAGAAGAAAAATAAAGAAGAACTAGTTTCAAATCATGTTGATAAGTCAGTTTTATATTAAAAATAAAATAAGCATTCTTTATTTTAAATTTTGTTTTCTTTAAAGACGATCTAAATATTTAAAAATGCCAAAAAAATTACTTATCCGTTCATTACGTCTTCAATTAAATTATCCGATAAAAAAGAAAAAAGAGAGACTCTTCATTCTATCAAGACTTCCATTACTTGATCGACAATTTTGTCTTAAACTTGACCTATATTTATATCAATCGTATTTTACTGAAGGAAAACATTCGAAGATGTGGCCAGTAAGTCAATTTTACATATGAATAATACTTTCAATTTCTATATCTTTCAAAGAATGACCTCATTCAAATGGCACAGAATAATCAATATGATCTCGTCGAAAAATATCTTCACGAACATCTTAATCAATTACAGCAAAAATTGGATCAATGTACCGATGAATTGTTATCCCAGTCGTTATCTTGTCCAAAAACACTAACATTACCCAATATAGAAAGTCGACTTCAAGAATTTGTCCGTCTACATCATTTAGATTTAACAAGAAAGATCAATTATCATGTAAACAATTTTAAAGATTGTATACGTGAAAAACAACTCTTTGAAACGTTATTTTCTTATCCATTAACAAATGAGCAAGTAATACTAATTAGATTTATTTATCTATAACATAAACTAGTTTCCTATATTTTAGCAACATACAATCGATCGTCTTATTGATCTACGTCAAAAACAATTGAAAACATTCGAAGAAATGACAATGTTTGAAGTACGAATTCTATGTAACAGATTACAGAAAAAAATTAATGGTCATGATAAGTTAATGTCATTGGATAACATTACAATGACTTCGTTACCTATCGAGAATAACAACAACATTCAACGAGAATCAAATAAACAATATCGAAAACGCATACGAGATTATAACCGGCAAATTCTTGATAAAACTTTGGAAGAATACGAAATAATCCACGAAGAAAATGAATATTTATATCAAGAAAAATTACTTCAATTCGAACATGATTTATCTAAATATACGGATCAAACTAACAATTTAATGACTTGTCTCAACGACTATCTATATCATCGGACTAACAAAAGTATTCGGGAAATTTTTTATAAAGAAGCAACATTTCGCATGAAACTAAATCGTCCACGTCATCGTCGTAAATCCGCATCGCTTTTAAAGAACAAAAGCATTAGCATTTATCCAGAAGCAATCGTTGAAACATCAGAAAATCTTTTCATTGACAAAGAATTAAGTCTTCTATCATTTGCAGGTGACATTCGATTGTTTTCTAACAATCTTCGTTTATACATATCTGTATGTATATATATATATAATTTTTCTTGTTAAATAGGAGGTCCAAGTTATATAAGACCAAATCAAAGTTTTTTTTATCGTGAGAAAAAAAGTCAACAAAAGACTCAAAAGGAATTCAGTACGATTATTGACAAACTTGTACCAGATCTTCATCGTTGTCACCGTATACCAATTCAATCATTAGAAATCAAACAATTTACGAATCAACTTGAAACAATTTTCAATCAAAGATATATCAGTCCATTATCTTATCTTGATATCTATCGTATGCGGAAAGATCTTAAATTAGTTCATTCAATTAAACGTAAATTACATCGAACGCATAGTATAATGCGGGTGACTGATAAAAGTGGCGTTTTTCATATTGGTACAACTGCTGATTATGAAAGAAAAATCGAAAAATATCAAAGTGATACTCAAGCATATGTAGAATTACCATCGAATCCATTAATGGATACATTCTATAAAGTGGTTCGTTTATTGAATGATCTTCGTACAAAAAACCAAATTACAAAATGGCAATACGACAAAATGATGCCTGATAAAAAGAAAATCAAGTTATCCTATTTATATGGTCTACCTAAACCACACAAAGTAATTCTTACCTTTTTGTTGTGAATAAAACATTTCCAATTTCTTTACTAAAATCTCATAACATTTTCTAGGATGGTACTCCATTACGACCTATTGTGTCCGGCATGAATTCGCCAACAATTAAAATTTCGAAAATGTTAGATGAATTAATTCGACCATTATATGATCAATATGCTAAAGAAACAAGTATAATTGATGGTGTTGATCTTATTCGTCGACTTGAAGAACATGCTAGTTTAGGTCTTTTGAAAGCAACTACTCTTTTATGTACATCCGATGTTACTGATCTCTATACGATGTTACCACAAGAAGAATCGATAGCCATTCTAAAACAATTCCTTCTTCAACATAGTCGTACACATATTAAAAATATGACGATTGATGCTATCGAAAGTTTGGCTCGCATTGTATTGACTGAAAATGTTTTTACTTATAATAATAAATATTACCGACAAATTAAAGGTGGTGCAATGGGATCACCATTTACATTAACATTAGCTAATATATTTATGTGGCATTGGGAGCAAAATTTAGTCGCAATTCAAAAAACTTCTGGAAGTCTCTACGGACGGTGAGTTCATTTTCAAAAAGCATATTTCAGGGTGTGACTTTTTTATTGACATTTTCTTTATCATAGCTACATCGATGATATCTTTTTGACATGGAATGATTCCAAAGAAAAACTCCATCAGATGTTACAAGATGCTAACGATTACCATCCAAGTATTAAATTAACTCATGAAATTGGTAATTCTATTTCTTTTCTTGATGTTCAAATAAGTAATGAAAATGGAAATCATATTACATCGGTTCACCACAAAGAAGCAGCTGAACCTTATGTTGTACCATTCAAATCTGATCATCCACGTCATATATTTGCCAACATTATTCGATGTGCTCTTCTTCGAGCATTTCGTTACTCACCAACATTGAAACAATTTAATTGTGAACGACGAGCTATTAAATTAATGTTGCTCTATAATGGGTACAGTATTAATTCATACACGTAATATTTTTCGACCTTTTTCTGTTTCTCAGCTATCCAATAAGATATATTTACCATCATTTCACGAAATTTTTCAAACAACTTTCTGTTACATCAACATCTATTCTACCAATGATACATGATGAAAACGAATATATTCTACTACGACGACAACAATTAGCTCTACCAACTGCAAGTGAACAATCACGAGCTTCAAGAATTGCTAGTCAAATGGACTGTAATAATCCTAATGCTACAACTGATCCACTGATACAATCAAAATTAAAGAAAAGGCAAAAAACGCTCAACCAGTTACATCCGATGATCATTCATTACACACATGAAAAACGTTTCGCCCATTATAAATCAAGCATACATAAACTTTGGCAGTGTTCCTTCGGCCGAACACCAATCACAGAAACAAAACTCATCGTTGGCACACGAAATCATCCAAATCTCACCAAAGAATTAGTTCAACGGAGCCCATGCGTAACAAACGAACAAAAACTCAATAAAAAGGAAACCAAATTGCCAGCGGACACCTGAAAAAAAACATATCGATTAATTATGTACACATCCAAAACCTGTTTATAATTTTCTATATGTTTCCTCTCATTTGTGCTAACCTTCAAAAAACTTCCAATAAAACAGAAAGCGTTACAAAAACCTATTTCACAACATATTTCCTCATCCCTTTTCATCTATTTCACAATACACGAGAATACAGAATATCAATATCTAAAACAAATGACCACTTTGAAAAGGCAACAAAAACCATGGCACCACAAGTCAGAACAACCAATACAATAAAACCTATCCTAAGCAAAATTCTTATACAGACAATTAGAATTCATAAGATCAATAAAAACATTCAATCGAAAGCGACCATATCAGGATACTACATCTGGATCATGGTAATGCTCAACATACTAGTGCTAAAATTCATATCTATCGATAATTCATTTGACACTTTTGTAAACTCTTGGATATACTATATCGATTATTATACTTTGTTTGTGATTTCTATTTTGAAATCATTTAAAACGAGTATAGCAGAGTCATTACCATCTGATGAGAGAATTATCTTATATGGAAATGT